CTCTCTGTCTTCTGGGAGCTACAGTCCTAGGAAAACCAGACCCAGAGGCAAATGTTTACAGAGCAGTGAGAACTGTGAGAATGCAGAGATTCAAAGAGAGGTCCTCGGGAACACGCAAAGGTTAAGCAAGGAGCCTCTTGAACTTTGACTTGACCTGGGTAGACAGAGAGCCCACTGGAAAAAACAAAGGAGTGGGGGAGACCTAAGCCAAAGGAAGGCCCAGTACCACAGCAGGTGTGCATCCATGCAGAAGCAAAGGAACTGGCAGGCTGGGGGGACCAGGGCTTGTGTGGAAGTCTCAGATGTGAGGGGAAGATGGCAGGGCTCCAGAGAAAGCTCTTCTGGTTATGACAGGTCTGGAATGCCATGCTCAGGTGACCAGACTTAGGACTGGGGATCCATGACAGATATTTAAGTGAGAAGAGATCAGATGGGTTTCATGGCTTGGAAAGATCAGTAAACAGGTGTGTGTAAGCTGAACAGAGGACAGAAACAAGCTGGGGAGAAACTGGAGGCAGGGAAAAGAAGCCAGAGATGGCTCAGGCAGAGGGGGTCTTCTGTTCCCCATGGACCTGGCCTCTGAAAATCTGTGTGTGCCAATGGGTTCAGCAGGGCCTGCTTTGCCCTCTGCATGCACTTGCCTGTGTGAATAAGATGGGGCTAGGCAGCCCTGGAAGAAGTCATCCTAGGGTGGGCTTTCGGGCTGCCCAGTCCATAGAGACATTTCAAAGTTCTTTGAACACTCTCAGAGACCACCATGTCTTCCAAGCTGACCTTTCCCGGGTTCTCTGTGTATTTAACTTTATTTCCGTCAAAGACCTTCACTAGGGTCAACAAACAGGTTGGGCCAAGATGGAGGCCACCCCGTTATCTTATTGAGCAGCTGCATAGCTGGTTTGTCCCCAGCAGAGAAGAAAGTGTCTGGCAATAGTTTCTCTCTTCCACCCGGAAATAAAAGACAATGTGGCTGGTGTTTTTCTGCTCTCAATTTTTCCAGCCACCCTCACAAGCCAAGCCTCAGTTTATATTAATACTATTACTCGGGATGACATTTTCTCCTACTGTCGTTCTGTCTTTTTTGTCTTCCTCCTTCATTCCCTAATTTGCCTAATGTGCATAATTCAAGCCTGTGTATCAAGTCATCCACAAAACTATCACATTACTAAGTTCCTTCCTCTCTATCAACCCCATCTCTATCTCTCACAGAAATTAGAGGGAGGTGACTGCAAACCTGCAAGGGCAGGAAATAGAATTATGAAATGTGTTAATTGGGACATCAAGTCGGCTTTTATTCCAGGCACTTCTATCCCTAAGCCACTTTGAAGCTTACCCTTGTGACAATGATTCTCGTTAGATGGTGCTGTTAATGGTGAGTGGTGTTTGCACATGGTATACATATGTCATGCCTAGGCCTTAAGACTGGTGGGTCCAGATGATTGGTGGGTCCAAGAGGGGGACAAAGACAGCCAAGAGGGTCTAGGTATTAAAGGGCAGAGATGGCAATGAGAATGGGCATTAGGGAGAAAGCCTGCTGGGGAGTTGAGGTTCGGGCTACAGAGATTCCACCAAAATACATTGTTTTAAACTTTCCCCTTTGCATGAAGTTCAGGGTCTGCAAGTTCATTGGCAAAAGACATGGACCTGCTGCCTTCTAGGCTTCTCAAGAGTCTAAGCCAACACCTTGCAAAGTGGTTGAAATGAAAGTTTGTGCACATTTAAGTGGGTGGGGGTTTCCCATGGAGCAATGGAATTTACAGTCAGGCATAGGATAAAAGCCTTTCTCTCTGCCTCCTGGTAGGGCTTAACATTTTTCCATAAACCTACAGTCATGGCAAAATGACAACAAGAGTCAGCCAATATGGTGCCATCTTGATGCTCTGTGGAGAAAACTGAACTCTTCCCTCCATTTGTTGCTTAGCACTGGGATGTGGTTCTCTCTTCAGAATGACTTTGACAGTCACAAAAGGCACCTTACAGTCTCTGAATTCTGGAAGGCTGAAAGTAGGAGACAGCTACGCATCAGCAAGGTGACCAGGACAGGGGAAGAGCTGACAGTGTATCTTTTGGAAACCTTCCTCAGGATTGTGATTTGTTACTTATGTTCAACTTCACTTAATAGAAGGTCCAAGTGGGCAGGAACTATTTTTGCTTCATTCACTGTTGTGTCTCCAGGCCTGATGTGTGACCATCCACCACATCAAACTTTATTCTGGTGTCTAATATATTTGTTTTGCATGCAATGTGCATGTGAAACACATCCAGCCAATTTTTCTGGTTCTCAAATACAGAAAATGGGCAAATAAAACTGTATCCGCTGGGATTACTGAGAGAAGAGTTGCTGCTCTTTAAGAAGTCTCCTGAGGGAGACTCAGGGATGCCTCTCCTCTACCAGATTATGCTGTCTCTCTACAGGTTCACCCATGTGCAAGCTGAAAATTCACCTGTATTTTTCTTATTTGTTGATTTTTTATAAACTTCTGTTGTGACTTCAGTTCTTCAGAGACTACAAATCAAATGATGTGAGATTGAGTATTGGAGGTTCCCTGTTAACTGGAAGTAGTGATTCCTCTCTCTCTCTCTCTCTCTCTCTCTCTCTCTCTCTCTCTCTCTCTCTCTCCTCCCAATGCCCCCAAGGAGATGATTTTAATAAAGAAAGATATTTCTGCCTGCGGGGATGGTACACTGTGGAAGTTGAGCAGCTACAAGTAGGGGAGAGAGAGAGAGAGAGAGAGAGAGAGAGAGAGAGAGAGAGATTTCAATAGTGAGAGGAAGAAATAGAAAACTGAACACCATCAATTGAACACCATCATTCAAACATACAAAAATCTTCCAGATAGTTCAGCGATAAGCAGATAATTGCTAATAAAGAAAGAAAGAACACCAACTGTCATAGAGGAGAATATTGAAGTTAGAATGTTTTTTTTTTTTAATTTTTTTTGATAGTTGGGCAGGTAAGCTAATAGCAATAGAATTTACTTTAAAGATCAACACTACAGACGCTGCTGTTTATTATTGATAGTAATGTGGCTCCAGTAAGGGGAATATTAAGTCTCATAAAAGCCATTGCAGCAGTCCATTTAGGCCCTGTCTGAGCTGCACACACATGGGTTTCCCACTGTTGGTTCACATCTCTGGCAGGAGTTTTCTTTGGATTATACCAGGACATCTGCTCCTTGAAAATCTGTGAGAACCATTTCAGCTGCCGGTTTCAGTTCTATGGCTGATGGAACTGGGGGTGACCTTTCTCAGAATTCTTTTAGCATGGAGTGATTAACTAACTCATCTGGATCCTGAATATATTTGTGTGACATAGGTGGGAAGCCAAGTGTGATAGATGGGACATCCATCCCTCTGGAAATTAGTGAGAGATAAAAGAAATGATACGTTAAGGCACTTGGCTCAGTGCCAGGTGAATCCTGAAAAAATGCTAGCTATAGAGGGAAATGGTGAATGTAGCAGATGGTGCTGGATTTTGCACTCAAAATGTCAGGGTTAAAAGTCCCAAGTCTTGTGTTCTCATAGTTCCAATATATACCCACAAGATACTTGATTACACAGGGAAAAAATAATCACTTTGCAGTGGAGGAGCATGCAGGCACCACCTGAATGGTAGGGTCAAAGCTCCCTGAGCAATCACAGTGTTGACCATGCCTCCTGATACAATGCACTGAATGGGACGCATGACTGTAATGCCAGCAGCATGGGAGGCAGAGGCAGAAACATCACAAGTTCAAAGCCAGCCTCAGCAAATGAGGAAGGCCCTGAACAACCCAATGAGACTCTGTCGCTAAGTAAAATATAGAAAGGGCTGGGGATACGGGTCAATAGTTAAGTGCCTCTGGGTTCAATGCTCAATACCAAAAATTTAAAACAACAATGTGCATAGCAGAAATCCTGTGTGAGGAATCTACATTGATAAACATTCTACCAAATAACCAGCCTGTGCTCTTCAAAGCTGTCACAACACCCAACAAATGTGAGTCAGAGGACTCTTCCAGATGAGCAGACACTCAAAAGTCATGACAATCGAATACATGGTGCAATTTGCCATTCCTCTTCTCATTCCCTTTACTTTCTTCTTTCTTTTATTTTGCTTTTCTCTTCCTTGTAATTATTTTAGTGTAAAGTACAGTATTGGAACTAGGTGTCAAATGGTGAAATATGAAAGAAGTCAAGAGATGAGATCATGCTAATGTCTCTACCAATATTAATCTTCTCATTAAACAGTGATATTCATGTTGTGCAAGAGACTATTCTTATTCTAGGAAATAAAATGTAATTCAGAGGTGAAGGTGCATAGGCCTTAGCTGATTCTCAAAATGGCTTAGGGGAAAAAAGTCAGAAAACATAAAGCAAATGGGCAAAAACACAAACATTTGGGGAAGATGTATAGGATATACATGGTTTTGTTGAACTTTTGCACAAAGTATAAAAATTATAACAAAATGAAAAATAATGCTCAGCCCTATTGAGTCAGACCTGAGGATGACTTGGCTTCTGTGAACCTCAGTTTACCTATTTCAAAATGGGGACTTGGTAACAGCATATAGGACATTCTGTCTCTGGAGATGAACAAACCAGAAAAGCATTAACTCCTTCTGGAGTTAGGAGATGGGTTGCAGAGTTAAGAATATGGAGTGGTCTAAGGTACTAACTATCCCTGTTTTCTAATAATAAAAACCATGATGTGACCTTGGACAATTCCCTCCAAGAAGATGTGTTAAATTGGATCTATCAGAGAATCCTTTTTGAAATCATTCCTCCCTTTCAAGGTTGTTGTGGGAATTAAGTGGGATCATCTCCAAAGGGGACTTAGTGCAATGCCTGGAACATAGTAGGGATTTGAGTCACCATGGTAAGTCTCACGGCTCTGACTGCCCTTCTCATTCATTGATCAGTATCATGCATATTTGACCCATGATTCCTGGAGGGAAGGAAACTTACACTGTCCCTCAGCACTGTACAGACTTGCCTGCTGGTCAAGTGGAAGTTTTTTAATAACCAGAATATGAAAAGAACTCAAAAAAATTAACACCAACAAAACCTAATAACCCACTCAATGAATGAATGAATGATCTATAGATATTATTCCAAAAAAGAAATACAAATAATCACAAAATATATGAAAACATGTTCAACATACTTAGCAATCAGGAAGATTTAAATCATAACTACATTGATATTTCATCTCACCCCAGTCAGAATGGCAATCATCAAGAATACAAATAATGAAGCAGGCGTGGTGGCACACACCTGCTATCTCAGTAGCTTGGGAGGCTGAGGCAGGAGGATTGGGAGTGCAAAGCCAGCCTCAGCAACTTAGTGAGGTCCTAAGCAACTCAGTGACACCCTATCACTAAATAAAATATAAATAAAGAGCTGGGGATGTGGCTCAGTGGTAAAATTCAATCCCTGGAACCAAAAACAAAATAAAACAAAACAAAATGAACAAATATTGATAATTGCTGGTGAGTATGAGGGGAAGAAGTTATACATTGTTGATGGGACTGCAAATTAGTACAACCACTTTGGAAAGCAGGATGGAGATTCCTCAGAAGACTAAGAATGGAAACACCATTTTTTTTTTTTCAAATTCTAGACTTGAGGAGTTGATCAAGTAATTAAAGGACATTTCTAAAGAAAAAAAAATAAAGAAAAGAAATAAAGGCTCTGAAAACCTTCTCTGGATTTTCCCATATGCTGACATTAGCAAGAGCTACTCCCCCCCACACCCATCATTGCTCTTACACAGGTCCCTAAACAGGTGACTCTATATTATCAAGAGATGAATCTTCAGACTCATGCGGTCCTGACCTCTTTCCAGAGCTGTTTACTTAAATGCCTTCTTTTCCATAATCTTTAAAAATCCAATATCAGATTTTAGAATTAGCAGAGAGGAGGGATACCACAGTTTCTCATCTTAAGTTAATTCTTGTTGGAATTCTTTTTCTGCTCTGCCTACTTATCCCCCTCCCAGCCCTAAATTCCAGTAATCCTGGTACTGGCTTCAAAGTAAATGCAAAAATATATAAGGCAGAGTCTAATTTAGATTTATATTTACTTGGAAAATAGGACCCATAAATTAAGGATCATTCTGTGTTGGAGAAATATGATATGTGCTATGAAGTGGAGGGAGGAGGGCTGGTGAGAGAAAGGGAGAGGGAGAGGGCAGCACTTGTGAGAAAAGCCCAATCATTCCAGATTTCAGTATGAGAGGACCTAAAGTAAGGCTAAAACCTTAGTTTAATCCTAAGAACTGGGATTACCAGCATGGGCCACAGTGTGGGTTCAGACACATTTATATATGAAGGGTAAAATCACTAGGGATAGATAGGAATCCAGATCATTGCAGACTGTGAAAATTGTGCTTCCCTCAGTGAGTAAATCAAAGGAAAAAAGTCTCTGGGAATCTCTGTGTGGTTTCCCAGGCACTTCTCTAAGATAGAAAGGGAAATCATTGCTTCTCCACCTCCTTTCCCCAGGGCTGCTCACTCTCTGACATCATATTCCCTGGGGAGGTGCTTTCTTTTAGAAGGTCTATCCTTGGCTTCTTCAAACAGCCTCTGAGCCAGGACTCAGAGAGATGATGTGAGAAAGACAGCTTGGTGCTGGAGGAGAAAGGTCAGAAGAAAACCGCAGGTCCTGGGCGTGGCTCAAGGTCTCAGGCCTGAAGGAGGTTTCTGGGGTTGGGAAACCAGAAGGAAACCAAATCCCCACTTTCCAGGAGTTTCACTTCCTCCTCTTTCAACCTGAGTTCTGCCTGGTGACTCATGACGCGTCCACAGTTCTCACTCTCACACCAGTGGTTTCTAGAGAAGCCAATCAGAGTTGTCGCCGCGATTCCAGGTGACAAGGTCCAGGCACTGCTGCAGGAACTGATTCTCCCTGTCCATGGAGGTGTGAGTCATGAAGTTCAGAACTCTGTTCCTGCTGCTTTTGGGGCCTCTAACCCTAATCCAAACCTGGGCGAGTGAGTACCGGGTCGGGCGGGAAACAACCTCTGTGGGTAGGATCTAGGGGACTTCTCAGCGGGGTCGCAGATTCAGGGACGCGGCATTTCCACCTTGTGAAGCCTGAACATTCCCTCCATCTCAGACTCGCCCTGTCCCGATCTGAATCACCGACCATACCGTCCTTTCTGTCTGCCCGCTTTCTGTCTCACGAGTCCCCTCGCCCCCTCCTCCCATCACGGCCCATCAACCTGGGACCCTGGTCCTGTCCCAGGAGGTGGTCGCATCGGGTCTTAGCTGCTCTCTGTCCTCAGGGTCCCACTCCCTGCGTTATTTCCACACCTCCGTGTCCCGACCTGGCGAGGAAGAGTCTTTTTACACCTCGGTGGGCTATGTGGACGACACACTGTTCCTGCACTTCGACAGCGACGCCCCAAATCCGAGGGTGGAGCCGCGGGTGCAGTGGATGGAATTTGAGGCACCAGAGTTTTGGGAAACGCAAACCAAGATTGCTAAGGCGCACGCACAGAAATTGAGCTGGAACCTGCGCTCCACCCTCCGTTACTGCAACCAGAGCGAGGACGGTGAGTGACCCGGGACCGGTGGCAGGGGACAAATGCCCCCATCTCTTTGAGACAGGCCATGGTCGACTACAGTCTCCGAGACTTAGTTTCATTTCCAGGCCCCCAACATCCCTTGGCCCCTCGACTCAGAAAACTTGGGCGAGTTCGCCAGGGGTTCACTTTACATTTATGCAGAAGCCTTAGACCAATCCACCCCTCCTCCTCCCCCGCTCCCGGGTTGCACTGGCAGAGTTAAGCCCCAGAGGTAAAAGCTGGAGCAAAGCCAGTCTGACTTCCGGGGCGGGGCCAGGCTCTCACACCTTCCAGTGGATTTCTGGCTGTGACCTTGGGCCAGATGGAAGCCTCCTTCGTGGATATGAGGAGTTTGCCTATGATGGTGCGGATTACATCTCCCTGAATGAGGACCTGCGCTCTTGGACCTCATGGAACAAGGCTGCTCAGATCACCCAGCGCAAATGGGAGGATTCAGGAGATGCAGAGCACTACAGGGCCTACCTGCAGGAGGAGTGCCTGGAGTGGCTCCGCAGATTCCTGGAGAAAGGGAAGGACAAGTTGCTGCACACAGGTACCAGGGGATGAGGGGACCCCTACATAGTTTGGACAAAAATGGAATTGCTAACAGAATACCAGAGGGCCTTCCCTCCTCTCAAGACAATTAAGGCATCAAGTCTGTCTTGGAATGGGGGGGGGGGGGCGGGGAGAAGATCTCTGAACAAACTTAAGAGCACATTGCTTTGACCCTGACAGCAGCCTTGGGTACCACAAGATGACTTTCTCAGGTCTTGTTCTGAGCTCCACATTCAAATTGTTTGAGGTTTGACTGCAGGTTTTGTGAGTCTCTGGGCCTCCATTCAGGTCAGAACCTGAAGTCCCTCTTAGAGACCTGGGGCATCTTTCCCTGGTCAGTCTGATTCTACAACTTTCCAAGGAAACAGAGATTATCTCAGAAGCTTGAGTCCAGGCTGGTGCTTGGGTTTTGCTTTCCTTCCTCACTTCCATTGTCCTGTCTGACTTAGTATGGTCACATGAGCACTGGTTCAGTGGCCATGGGAGGTAATGTAAAATGTCTTATTAAAAAAATATTTTTAGTTGTAGATGGACACAATACTTTTATTTTATTTATTTATTTTTATGTGGTACTGAGGATCGAACCCATGCCTCATATGTGCTAAGCAAGCACTCTACCAGTGAGCTACAGCCCCAGCCCCAAAATGTCTTATTTTTCTAATTCTTCCCTTCAGAGTCTCCAAAGACACATGTGACCCGTCACTTCAGCCCTGAAGGAGATGTCACCCTGAGGTGCTGGGCCTTGGGATTCTACCCTAAGGAGATCACCCTGACTTGGCAGAGGGATGGGGAGGACCAGATTCAGAACATGGAGCTTGTGGAGACCAGGCCTGCAGGGGATGGAACCTTTCAGAAGTGGGCAGCTGTGGTGGTGCCTGCTGGGGAAGAGCAGAGATACACATGCCATGTGCAACATGAGGGGCTGCCTGAACCCCTCACCCTGAGATGGGGTAAGGAGGGGATGAGGGCATAAAGCCTCTTGCCAAGAAAGCAGGAGCCATTCTGAGGGCTGAGAGCTGGTGGTTACAGCATCTCATCTTCCCTTTTTTCCCTTCCCAGAGCTATCTCGTCAGCACACCTTCTCCATGATTGGAATTCTTCTTGGCCTCCTTCTCTTTGGAGTTGGGTTTGCTAGTGTGAAGTGGAAGAGCCAGATAAAAAAGAGGTGAAGTCTGATTTTTTTTTTTTTTTTTTTTTGTCCCTGTATGGGTTTCAAGCCACAGGCAGGTGTTTTCCAGTCTTTTGCCTTATTACTGAGGAGCACCATTCACATGCATGTGTACCCAGAGAGAGTCCCTGTGTGCTGAAACTTTCTTAAAAAGCACAGGTGAAAAACATGAAACTTTTTACCCTGATGATCATGACCATATAGACCTGATTCCCAGCAGTCCCAGGTCATTTTCCTCATGCTTCCCGATCCTTCCCTGGGTCTGCAGTCATAGTCCTGGAAATGTCACTGGTTTAGAACCAGGGGATTCCTCTAGAACCTCATGGCCCTGCATCCTCCCTGACCTCTCACAGGACACTTTCTATCTACTGTTGGAAAGGAAAAAGCTACACTCAGGCTACAAATAAGTATGGGTCGGAGAATGATCACTGAGACCCTTGAGGTAGTATGAACAGGAGCCCAGTGGGGAGCTCACCTACCCTATGATTCTCTTTAGCTATAGCTCCTTTGGACTCTGAGTAGTTTTCTTTTCTTTAGCTGTTGTTGTTCTACCCTGGGCAGGGAAGAGTCCGAGGGGTTTAATGAGTCTCTCATGACTTCTAAAGGAGGGTTGAAAAGGGGGAAGAGATAGAATGGAGGGGGCACAGCTGGGTTCTGGGGACTCTGAATCTGGACCTTTTGAGTGAGTGATGTTCAGAATGTTGCGACTTCTGGTGAACTTCCCTAATTCTTTTTCTGCAAATGGCTCTGAATGTGTCTGAGTTCCTATTGGTAAAATGTGAAGAGGTGGAATAACCAGCCTATCCCTGCCCAATAGGACCCTCTTCCCCATACTAACCTGTGTTCCCTTCTGTATCAGAAAAGGGGCCAGGATGTCTCTACCCCTGGTTTAACTTTATGTTGCATTGAGCTGCATCTTCTTATTTCACTATTGAAAACAAGAATCTGGGTATGAATGTGTTTTTCAAATTCTTGCCCTTTAGAGAGATTGATGAGGTTATTCAAGGGGCACAAGATTCCACAATTTGTGAGAGAAAACAAATTGAGATCTGAGAACCTCCCAGAATCCACGTGTTTGCTGTGGACACAGTAGAAGGCCGTGAGGAGCTATGTATGGGCAGGGCTGCAGCCAGGCAGTGCTCAGTCCTCTGTGGGCTTGGATGTGGTCACTCAAGAGCTGGTTATACCTCAATAGAGTCTTGTTCACTAGGACCTGTGATCACAGGAACTCAGATATTGCCTGGGCCTTGTCCTGTGTCCAGGACCAAAGGCAGGAAGTGTTTGTGTGGCCAGATCAGCGTGGCTCATGCCTGAGTTCAACCCTTAGCTCCCACTTTTGGGGTTTGTCTCTTTGTTTCTGTAGAGGATTATGCCTGTTCTTATTCTTGTGAATGAGTTCTGGTCTCTTGCTTTGCATCTAATTTAAATTATATCTGGTGGGAAATTAAATCCATCTGCTTAGGTTTTTTTTTTTCCCTAAAGGAGCAAATGAAAAGATGTGCTGTGGAGTGCGAGAGGGCTGGTGTGGGTGGAGGGAGGGAGGAAGAGCAGCTCTTAGGAGAAGAGTGCAGACAACCTGGACTTCTGTGTGACAGGACATTGTGCTGTAGCTGCCACAAGCAGCCTTTGGCCTGAGGCTCCATTAATAATGATAGTGTCTCTAGAAGAGGGAGATGCTCCAGAGTGATCATTCATCCAACTGATACTTACTGTGTGTCAGATCTGTTACACTGTTTCTGTACCTGGGAAACATGAGTGAAATTAAATCAGTTGTCCTCTCTGAGTAGCAGGTGACCTAGTGGGCAGAGGTAGAAAATTTCATCTAGGCATTGGGTAGTTTTCATGGCAGGAAGTGGCAAGTAATATAGGGAAGGTGATCTAGTCCGTGATGTGAGGCAGCGAAGAGGGCTGTGTGCTGGGGTGGGCAGCATGGGATCATGAAGAAAGTGAGATTTGAGGAGAGACGTGAGGACCTGAGGTAATTAGCTATGAGGACACCTGGAGGAGTTCTTTCAATGCCAGGAGAAGCTGCACTGCAAGTGACAGGGCAGAATGAGTGTGTAAGAGTGTGTGTGTGTGTGTGTGTGTGTGTGTAAAAGAGAAGAGAAAGACTGAGATGATGTCAGAGGGGCTTCCAGATCTGTAGCCTAAAGGTCCTAGAGAGCTTGGGCTTCATCTGACAAATGCCTTGTCATGGTGTCCACAGAGCTCTGCTTCTGCCCCAGAAATTCCTTCACAGCCAAAGAAGAAGTGTGACCACAGTCTGAACTCCGGAATCTCTGCTCCTACCATCTTCTCCCTCCTCCTGAGGTACCTGGCTTGATGAGGGGTGCTGTGGCCTTTTGAAGACTTCATGACAGTGGCAACTACAAGGAGACACCTTGCAGCTGGGTCAAGGTCCCTCAGGAGGCTGCACGTGCTCTGAACTAGTGTCTGACAGGTGGCACTGTTTTCCCAACAGCCAGGATTCATTTGTCCAGGAATCAAGAAATGGGAATGGGAGTGGCAACTCTCACTATGGCCCCCAGTGACCCACTGTGTGCTTCCTGTCCCAAGACCTTATGTCCTGCTGGCCTAGAGATCTTAGTTTCACAGAAGAAATGCTTCCATCAAGAGACAACAATGAGTTCACTGAATTGGAAAGGTCAACTGTCACTGGCCATGTTGGGCTCTTCTTGCTTTAAGTCAAGAGCCCAAGAGTGGAGTTAGCTGGTGGGCCTGAGTGATGGATCCTGGCAGCCAGGGGGACATGGGACAGCTGCTCCCCATGGAGGGAAGGAAGGGAATGTCTGGAATATAGGAGTCCCTTAGGGTGCCTCTTAGTGTTACCCCTGTGATTAATGTCCATGGGAAACTACATCATCCTAACCCAGGCAGGACTAAGAGTGGCCAGGACCCTTCAGGAATGAAGGTTGGCATCACCACAGCAGGAGAAATGCCACAGGCAGCTGAACTACTTGGTGAATTGAAGGGAATACGGAATGGGAGGTGGAAGAAGATAGTTATGAGTACCAGCAGCAACACATGACCATTTTCAGAGGAGAGGACTGTAATTTTCATTTGCATATCTTCTTTATTTTATTATGAATATGTTTGTGGTATGTATTTATTAATAAAATATACTTATTTTCTTGAATATCATCCTTTTATACATAACAAATAATTTTGACTGTTTTTCATAGTATTAAACATTGTTAAGTGTATGTCTTAGTGTCTTGCATTTTGGGATGTCTATCAAGGGGAGGAGGAGAATACATCACAGAGGGACTTTGCATCCTGTGTTAGGAAAGGGATGGTGTAGTTCAGTTGTATGCAGGAGAGTCTTATCATGTTAAGTGGAAGTATAAATTATTATTCTCTTTATAACAAAGGCCATCCTAGTGCTCAGTGAGATTGAGGTGTGTGATCAAAGCTATCCCAGGATGGGATATGTGTTAAAACCTTAAAGTTTTTTTCCTTAGAAAGAAAAGGTGGACTTATATTGTCAATCATGATATGTGAATTGGAAGATCGTGTTGTTTTCACCCCATGAGGTACCACCAGGTGGATTATGCAGAAAGTTGATCAGAGCTCAGCATGGAGAATATCTCTGTTGCTGCTCTCTGAAATGACTCCCCAAACCCATTTATCACTTCTTAGAGTAAATAATGGAATCCAGAATTTTTCCACTTTCATGTAAAGTATATATCATATTGGGAGATAATTACATGTTTAGGAAGGCCACAGAACCAGGCTTATTGTTATGTAGCAAAGGACAGAAACTACAATCCTGCCCTAGGTCAGATCCCACGTAGGCTCCACTGTCCCTGCTGCTGGCACAGGTGCCACTGATCACACTGATACTCTGATGACTAACAAAGGATTCTGTGACTGGTACTGCTGTTGCTGCTGATGCTGGGAACTGGTCATTACTACTTCCACTTGAGCCACTATCCCAAATGTGTCTGCCCTTCCCCAGCCCCTCTGTCATCATGTCCTGGTCAGAGTCCAGCATGTGGTCATCTGACTGGTGGAGCTGAAGCCTCATGTTGTGTTCCCCTGTAATAATGCCTGGGAGGTGGAGTTTGTCCTTTTATGGAGAGAAGTGGTTTCTGACTCTTAACAAGACAAAAGTGTGGAATTACCCTAACTTAGGAAGAGATTTTAGTGCCAGGGCTGAGAAATGGAGAAAGAATGGAACATTCTAATTTTTGGAACAGTGATCAGGGACTAGAACTTCATGAGTTGTTTGTAGATTCTCAGGTTTGGATGATGAATAAGTAACTAATGAATGACATCTTCTCATACATTCCCTTGAAAATGTGTTACTAGATCCAGTTTTGGTCTATATCAGCTTATACTTGAGATAATTGAAGTGTCTTTGTGGGATGGTGAATGGTCACTAAAAACACCTCCTAGCCTTTGTCTCTTATTAGTAGTGTTAAAATAGCCAGGTCTGTACTCTTCAGAGAATCTGCATGTACACTGATGTTTTCTAGGAATATTTATATTTTCTTGTGCATGAAAATGTGTCTAGGGAGAGAACCTCTAACATCTATCAGTCTTTTGTATTGAGTGCTGCAAAGGACTTAAAAAACCTGAATCTTCCAGTTTAGATATGGTGCTACAGTCAGTCTGGACCATGATTAGCTGGTAGCATTGTTTTTAGCAGGTCTGAGGACATGAAGTGAATCCTCATATTTTGCTCATCTTTTGTTCTGGAATTTGTCTTTGTGAGATGGCAAGGGAATTTTTTCCCTCTATCCATCCAAGTATGTGATTCTCCACCAGCAACTGGGAGTTCTGCTATTGAATCCTAAGACTACCTTATGTTAATGTCACATTGTAAAAGTTCAAGGGCTCTTCCCACAATGCTTCCCTCATTTAACATGCCAGAGCAAGCATGGAGACCCTAGGTTACCTACCCTTCTCTTTTACCTGGTACAATGTTGGAGGTTTCTGTAGCCTCTTTCTTAAGTGTTGATAATTTCATAGAAAACCTAACAGAACCTAGGTAAAGGCCGTTTATAGTTTATAAAGGGCACAAACAAGCAGCCAGAGGTAGAGGTACACAGATAAGATCTAGAAGTGTTCCAAGTGCAGAAGCCTCTGTTCCCATGAATTTGGGGTACACCACCCTCACAGCACGTGTATCAGCAATATGGAAGCTCCCCAGACACTATTGTTCAGGTGTTCTGTTCTAGTCAAGGTTTGAACTATTGAATGAAATCCAGTAATAATGAGGAGAGCATTCTGCTTTACTCAAACTAAATTAATTGTTAATCTCATCCATAAAACACCCTCTTATAAACATCCAGTATAAGGTTTTAACAAATATCTGGGCACTATGGCCCAGCCAAGTTGACATATAATTACCAAATTTCCCAGGACAAGAATATTCTAAGAAAATTTATATGAGAATCAATTAAGTAAGGGACAAACAACTGCTTTTGAGAATTTATGAAAAGTCAACCAACAAACAAAAAACCCACCAGGCAGTTCTCCCAAAGACTTTTTGCTAAATTTTATTAAGGACTGAAATAACCTGTATTTGTTCACCAGAGAAAAGAATGTGAAAAGCAGCAGAGGACAAAGAAAATACTTCATGGGAAAAATCATAAAGATGACAGCAGCTTTTGTATTGGAATCAAAGCAAATGAGAACACTGATCAGCAACGTGTTTGAAGGACTGAAAGGAAAATGCTGTAAATTTAGAATTCTTTCCCAGCAAAAGTATCTTTCACAAATGAAGGTATTTCAGGGTGAAAGAATTCATAATGAGCAGACAAACTGCACTGTAATGAATGTCCTTCAGATCAAAAGAAAATCATACTAGATGGAAAGGTACATGGTTAGATACATAAGATTTTCTTTTTATTTAAAAATCTCTTTAAAAGAGAATGCCTTTTTTTTTCTTTTCTTTCTTGTTTTCTTTTCTTTTTCTTTTTTTTTTTTTTGTAACTTGGGATTGAACCCAGGGGTGCTTAACCACTGAACCACATCCCCAGCTCTTTTTTATGTTTTGAGTTGCTAAGTTGCTTAGGGCCTTGTTAAATTGCTGATGCTGGCTTTGAACTTGAGGTCCTCCTGCTTCAACCTCCCATGCTACTGAGATTACAGGTGTGTGCTACTGTATCCAGTAACTTAATATTTCTTGACTTCACCAAGAATAGTGTTGTAGAGTACTCCAACAACTCATTCATCCACTAAAGCAGCTATTAACTTATGAACTTTGAGACTAATAAAAAATCTTACAACAATTAAGAGAATGCTTAATGCATGAAGAAGCTCCTAAATTTGGTAAGAAAGCATTTTTACTTACCTCCTCCCTCCCACCAGCTCTGAGTGCCACAGTCCTGGTACAATTTCCTAATATCAGAGGAGGTATATAGATTTGTTCTCTAAGAAATATGGTTGTGTGATTGATATGATGGCTCCCTGAGCTTGTCTTTGTTGCCCTCTCTGCCTCCCTCAAACTTGATTAGTGTTGGTATGGTCTCCACAGCTTATGCTAACAGTGGCCACAAGTAATCACCTGCAGACAGACTACAAGAACAAAGACTGGATCTTCATCAATTATACCTACAAGCCTTTAAAGGGCCTGATTGCAAGGGGGTAGGGTGGTGAAATGGAAGCAGCAAAATAGAACCCTTGTCATGGAACTCTGAGTGGAGCAGAGTTCTTTGTACAACATCAGAGTTTTCCTCTTACACTTTTTTGAAAGAACTTCATGAAGTTTATAAAAGCCATCAATATGTCATAGTCAAGTTTCCTGAAATGTGATAGTAAGTGGATTTTCTTCCATAATGCATCTGAAATCTGAAAGAACAGTGACAGCCATTTTTACTACGTTGGCTACAAGGCTTCTTGAGAAGTATCATGAGCCAATTGGATAGGTGTTTTAAAAAATAATTACTATTGGGGCTGGGGTTGTGGCTCAGTGGTAGAGCGCTTGCCTAGCATGCACGAGGCCCTGGTTTCCATCCTCAGCACCACATAAAAATAAGTAAACAAAATAAAGTTGTATTGTGTACAACTAAGAAATAAATATTTTTTAACATTCTACTTATTTGAATTTTGATTTCTGACTGTGATCCAGTTAAACACAAAATGAAGCCCCAGGCCATGCTAGGCAGAATCTAAGATGCCCTATGATAACAACCTCTTCTAGTAAGTGCACAAGGAGGTTTAGTTCACTGCCACCTTATGGAGTCAATGATCCAAGAGGCAGAGTGACAGAGAAACAAAGGGTGTTACTAGGAACAAGCTGGCTTTTTGCCTTCAATGATCATCTTACCCTTTTCCTTAAGAATCTTTTATATGACTTTTCAAGGGAAGATGTGCAGGACCCAGATAGAGAGGTGCCTCAGTTTTTCAGTGTTTTGAAAAATAGCCTCTTCTGGAATGTGGGCTGTATATATCTTACCTCTTTCATGTAGGTTGATGAGAGTTGCAGTCCAGTGGATCTAAAGGGCCTAAAGGGAGCAAAGGAAAATATTGAAATGACTTGTATCTGATTTTTGTTGTGATCACTATTTCTGGCAAGTACTCTTCCACTTTTGAATTTCTCTCACAACTTGGGACTAGGAAGTATTTGGTAAGGGAGATTTGTGCATCTCTAGCTAACTTTAGAGTATGGTTAATCTATAAAAGACTTCTGTGGCCAGTGATCTTTAAGAGCTAGAGCAGGCAAGAGCAGAAACTTGGGAGAATTGAGTCTTTATTGGGGTTGGGGATTATGTGCACTTTTAGGCTTATTCAGTATTTCCCAGTTATTCAAACAGGCATCTAGGTAGTACTGAGAAGGGATTTTACAGACATACTTAAGTTTGAAATTAGTTAAATTAAAGTCAGAGTGAGTAACCTGGTGATCCTGCCCTAATCAGAGCAGCCCTTCACTGGACTGGCTTTGTGTAGAGCAAGGAGATTCCAAGAGCAGAGGGATTCAGAGTGAGGGAGGCTTCCCAATGAGAAGGGAGGGTTTGAGAATGGAGTGGCCATATAGCAAGGAATGCTGGGTACCACAGCAGCTGGGGCAGGAAATGGAGCACTGATCTCTAAAAGTGCAAGTAACAGAATTCTGCCAACAGCTGCCAACAGCTATGAGCTCAGTGGAGGACCCCATCACAGCCTGATGAAATCCTGAACACGCTTGGACTTTTCACCTTGTGAACTGTGAGCAAATAAATTTTGAGCAAATAAAATTTGCTTTTATTTGTAAGCA